AGGTGGTTCTCCCGTGGCTGTGGGTGGAAGAAGGACCCCCTGAGTGTCTGAGTGGACCGGGTAATGAACAGCTGATGAAGCCCAGACCCCCTGCTGTGCATCAGGCCACCTGTAGTTTGAAGTCATTTTATTTGCAAGATAGATTTCATAAATGAAAAAGCAACAGAAACCTTCAGAGACATAGGTCCGCCCTCACCTCCGTACTTCTGTAACTCGTTAGCAGACTCATAATCGTGTATCAAAAAACAATCTGATTAGTGTCTGAGTCTCAGATCTGCCGATTCATGAGTGGGGAGAAAATGTTTGACCCCAGCAACACACAACCTGCCCTGCAGACTCGCTCTGATTTTTCTGCCCATCACTGCAGTACTCTGATTACTGTCAGGTGGTGGTGTCATGTGATCGGAGCCCCGAGCCTCGCCGCCACACGTTTCCACACCACATTTTTAACCACACAAAATGTCTATTGTGGGTCTGACAGCTGAATTCTGCAGCTCAGCAGCCAATGAGAGCACAGTGATCACATGACCGATGAGTTTGAAGTCGAGGCGGGAGTCGGTGTGAAGGTTGCTATAAAAACATAAATTTTGGGAAGCCTTCAGAGACGAGGGCTGCAAGATACGCTCCACATCTCTCTGTGTGAGATACCTGTGTGTGTGAGACACACACCTGTCCTGACATCCTGTCTGTCGTCCTCTGTGTCTCAGGGAGGTTTTACTGCATGCAACGCTCTGAATGTCACCTAAGTGCTCAAGCCGTGAGGAAGAGGCCGACGCCATCTGACAGAGCTACGTCACACCGAACGTCAATCGTAAGAACCACTTTTACTTTCATTGTGATATTATCTGTGTGCACCTGACCTGCAGGTGTGGGCAATTTATTAGTTCAAGCCCTGGAAGGTAGAACAGGTCATCAGATGCTCTTTAGGTGGTAATTTTAGTTGGAGGTCAGGGTGGTGGTGGTGTTGTGTGGCTGGACCTTGAATGGAGTTCTGACAGGAGCAGCTACCTGCCTGTGGAACCGATCAGTTCAGGTGTTTCTGTTCACGGCAGGTAAGCTGTTCAGGATCATCACTGTTTAGCGAGTCAGTACGGAAGATCGATCATGCCAGAAATGTTCAGTTCAAAAATAATAAAAACACACATTAACAGAAGAAATAATGACAAAAGGAAAACTAGACCTTTCTTCAATCACCTGTATAAGTTTTTTTCAACCTTTAAATCCTAAATAGCAAATATTTCGCCTTTGAAAAATAAAGATAATGATTCTGATAATGATTTAATAAAGTTCATCTGCTAAACTCATTTTAGAAAAAGAATGTGAAAAAAACTATTTTTGTAAATTTAATTTAGAATCAGAGTTACTGAAAACTTTGAGTTTTAGAGTTGGAATAATTACAGGACTAATAAATAAACGCATATCTTTGTCTTTGAAGGGGTCCCAGAGCTCGGCGCCATCTCTGTCTGACTCTCTGATCTCAGCAGGCCGCCGACCATCCTCAGGTGAGCTAGCTTCACCTGTGTGTGTGCTTTCAGTGTCCATACGTGTTCACACTGAGCGCGCTCCTTAAACAGGAATCGATGTGGGCTTTAGTGTGTCTGTGTGTCTGTGTGTGTCTGTGTGTGTGTGCGGCTGCGTTGGTGTGTTGGCAGCTGCTTCTCTAATGGCGGCGACGCCGGAGAGGATCGAGCTGGAAATCTGGCACCGGTGCTCAGAGGTGGAGCTACAGGAGGAGCTGGAGGAGGTTTCCGAGGAGGTCCTGAACCTATTCAACCTGAGCACCGACAATCAGACAGGGTCCAGGTCCAGAAGGTCAGTATCCTCAGGAAATAGAAAAAAACAGCCTTGGCTTTAATAATGCTTCAGCCTTTCTGCTGAATGCTGGGAATCACCGCTCCATACGGGGGTCAGTAAACATGTCTTGGATGTAAAGAGCTGGAGGTCACACACGTCTTACTGTAAAAACTTCAATATGAAATATTTTGTGGTGTGAAAAGTACGAATTAATAAAGAAACTTAAATGTTTACATCAAAATAAAGATTACAATAAAAGGGAAGTTGTTTTTAAAAA